ATTTCTCAGTGTAAAAATGGGAGCCAGCATAAAATGGGATATTATATTGGAAGTGCTTTAAGGAAATAACTGCTAATCTAGAACCAACATCAAGTAAAATTGTATGTCAATAATGAAGACATTTCCAGACAAAGTAAAACAGTAAGAATTTATTCGACAGAATTAAAGGCTCTTCTCCAGACAGAAGAAATTATTGCATTTAGAAAGTTTATGATGCAGGAGGAAATGATGAGTAAATGTAAAATGAGGACAATGGTAAATATCATGGCATATCTGATTACTGACTGTATGCAAAAGTGATATTTTGGGAGTCTAAGTTATATATAAAATGAATATATAAAACATATATTGGGAAGGAAAAAATAAATGTTAAGTGTTCTAATTAACCCATGCATTGCCCAGGAAGTGAAGAAGTGCCATTTCATAACATATTTTAATAAATGAGGAAAGCCTGTTGAAATTTCTAGGGTAAACACTTATATAATAGTAAAATGATGTACAATTAATAAGTTAATAGTGAGGAATATAAAATGAGTTTTAAAAATAATGAGTCTAAATCTAGTGCAATTCTATTCAACATTCTCATAGGGCGTTTTCTGGACATAGGCAAATTAATTTCATATTTGCAAGGGAACCAGAGGGTGAAGACTATCTAAGCTTAGCTAAGATAATACTGAAGGGGTAGAGCAAATGCAAAGAGTTACCTAATGTATAAAGTTTTCCAAGACAACAACTGGCTACAAAAATTATTACGTTTTAAAATTTTAGTGGAATTTATGAATAATATCATTCTTATTGATTTCATTACTATAAATATTGGACTTACTTTCATTTGTATGATGACACATTTTTAGGTGAAAACTTATTGAGCATGAAAATCAAACTGATATAAGCAATGAAGAGATTGTTTGGGATCACATAACCCTGAAGTCCAGAAGTACAACAGGCTTCAGGCTTGGCTAACCCATGGCTGGACTATGTAATCAGACACAGGTTCTTTTCTGCCACGGCTGGTGTTGTCTTTATCACACCTGGCAATGATATTTTAACATTTTCTAATGATACTATTTTTTTTTTTAAGATTTTTTCTTTTTAATTTATTTGACAGAGAGAGAGATAACGAGAGCAGGAACACAAGCAGGGGGAGTGGGAGAGGGAGGAGCAGGCCTCCCACTGAGCAAGGACCCCCCCCCCCCCGATATGGGGCTCGATCCCAGGACCCTGGGATCATGACCTGAGCCGGAGGCAGACGCTTAACCGACTGAGCCACCCAGGTTCTCTCCTCTTCATTTTTATTGTCAATTATATCAGGCAGGGTTCTAACAGAAAACTGATGGTATACTCAAATGAGATACCTGAGGAGTTTAAGGAAGGACCACTTTACAAAGATGTGGATGGTGTTGAGGCAAATCAACAAGAAGTGTTGAAGTCCCTGGGGCTAACAACATCTGGGAGTTGGTGATACTAGCAGATCTGATATAGAAAGTGATTTCTAGAACATGCATGAAAAGAGGAAGTATAGGAGATGCCTGCCTTACAGATGATGTGCCTTTTGTAGAGGGATGTACTTAACACCAGGTGCTCAAGCAGGCAGGTAGACAGAAATGTAAATATTTTACCCTCCTCTTCTCATTATTTTCTCAGCTTCTGCTGATTGATGGATCCCATCTGCCAAACCCAAATGCAAAGCTAGAAGTAAGGGATCACCTTGATGCAATCTACAGAATTTAGTGTCCTGGGATATGGAAAATGGTAGCGAAAGATGGAAAATGAGTGGAAAGAAGCAAATGGTGAATACCCTGCTATCCCTCATATTTGCTTTTTTAAATTTATTTTGTTGGTTTTCTATTTTTAAATAAAAAATTAAATTGAGTATAATGTTTCTTTGTGTAATATTTTCAAATGTCTTTTCTCATTCTACATTTGCATGTCGTTTCGAATGCAGGTAAAATTATGAATTACAAAACTTTAAACTTTATGGATGCAGCAAATTTTGCATCAACTGCTACATTCTTAGCATCTAGAAGAATTTCTGGGTCATAGTAATCGCTTAATATTTGTTGAATGAATGAATAAATGAATACTTTCCTTTAGGTTTTCTGCTGTTTGTGTATTATTTTCTTTCTTTTTTCTTCCTTTCTTTTTATTTATTTATTTACTTATTTATTTATTTTTAGAGAGAGAGGGAGAGGGGCAGGGGCAGAGGGAGAGGGAAAGAGAGAATCTTAAGCAGGCTCCACGCCCAGCACAGAGCCTGATGCAGGCTCAATTTCACAACCCTGAGATGACCTGAGCTGAAATCAAGAGTCAGACACTTAACCGACAGAGCCACCCTGGTGTCCCGTTTATGTATTATTTTTCATCTTTCCTTATAGTGAGATATAATAAGAATATCACTGAGGTATTCTATATTTTTATCTAATAACTTAAAATTTCCTTCTTCTTATTTATATGTTAATCCACCTGGCCTTTTATACTATATGATGTGAAGTAAGGATTCAATTGTGTATTTGTGGAATATATGTATACGTGAATATATGTCTCTATATATTTCTATGTGATAGATATTCACTGTCCACACTCAACATACTGATATGTAATGTGTCTTATATCACACATCATGTGACATATGGCAAATAACCACGTGTGTTTATTTCTCTATATCTGACCTAGTATCTGTCCCACTGATTCATGATTTGTACTTTTGTCAAAATTATATTCAGTTCTATAGTAATTCTCTCTCCTTGGTTAGATATGTTGTATTTTTACATTACCTCAGTCTTCCATATGAATTTCGGAATAATTTTTTCAAGTTCTAGAAAAATATCTCACTGATATGTTGATGAGATTGACACTAGATTTATGGATGAACTACAAGAAAAAGGCCATCTCTATAATTTTGAATCTTCCTAAATAGTAGACATGCTCTTTGTTCTTTAAGACTAGCCTGTAATTTTCAATATTAAGGTCTTGTACAACTTGAGTTGAGCTTATTTTTTAGTACTTACAAAATTTTTTAACAGACATCATACTTAATATTGAAATTCACAAGCATCCCACATTAACCTTGGGAACAATACAAATATGTGCATTTTTATTTTTACTCTTCAGTATTGTACTGGATGTCCTAGTCACTGAGTAAGGCATATGCCAGATATTAAATTACATATAAATTTTGAAAGGACATTAAAAAATTACAGTTGTTTCTAGAAAATGTAGTTATTTATATGGAAACTTCAACATAACCTATGAATGACTAGAAATAATACAACAATTTAATAAGATTGTTGTATAAAAATGTTAAAAGTGCTCCCATTTAGCAGAGAAAACCAAGTAAAAAAAAAAAGAATAAGGTACAAAAAAACCTACTCACAACAGTCTCTTTTATTTCTCTTCTAAAATACGATATAATGTGTTTAACAAGGGGTAGAATTTTATTGATTTTCTCCTGGGTTAAGAATTTTTGTTCTACAGGGGTGTCTGGGTGGCTCAGTCATTAAGCGTCTGCCTTCAGCTCAGATCATGATCCCAGGGTCCTGGGATCGAGCCCCGCATCGGGCTCCCTGCTCAGCGGAAGCCTGCTTCTCCCTCTCCCACTCCCCCTGCTTGTGTTCTCTCTCTCGCTGTGTCTCTCTCTGTCAAATAAATAAATAAAATCTTTAAAAAAAAGAATTTTTGTTCTACATATAACATGTATTTTTTAAGTGCTGAAAATATCTGATACTTATTTCTATTTCAATACTTTATTTTTTTCCTCAGAATTTCTTTTGTTTTTATGTTGTCACCAACTCCTACCTAAGGCCTATTACCCTTATTCTCATTATTTTATGTTGTTGTCATTTCTGCCTGCATTTTTGGAGATAATTTTCATTTTTCCACCGTTATATTAATTCCACTTTCCACCGTCAAAATTCTGTTTTTTTTAATTTCCAATGTAGCTTTTATTTCTGTTATTAGTTGTTTTCTTTTTTTGTGGGACAGAGTCTTTACAATTATTTTTATCTCAGTCTTTGTTCCATCGCTTAAATACTATTTGATCACTTCAAATGTGTTCAGTAGCAAATAGACTTTATTCCTTTAAATATACCCTTTTTGGATTTTGCCTTGTGCTTTTAATCTCAATTTTCCTATTGATATCTTCTATTCCTTTTTGCAGAGAATAATGCCACACAATTAAAGATTTTTTATTTATTTTTATTTATTTGTCAGACAATTATAAGGCATATTATTTTCTGTAGTAGTTAAACCTACTTCATAGACCTCTTTTTTTTCTCTCAGGAAAAATTCTTTTTTTTTTTCTGTTTTTATTTTCAGTAATACCATTTATGTGTGAATGTTTACTTTCTCCTTTATCACAGAACAGGAGCTTTTAACTTTGAGATAGTGTGTATCATCATAGGATAGGATATCTATGTTGCCATGGACCCATTTATTATCCACATTTGTGCTGGTGGAATAATCTTTTCAGATGTTCACATAAAAGCAGTCTGATATGTATAGCTTTTCTTTCCCAACATCTGGCAAATATCTAGTTTATGTAGATTTGCCAATGTGAGACAAAATTTAATCCCAGCTCCTCTGCCTGTCTCCTAAAAAAGTACTTCATATATAGAACATATAAGATGTGCCTGCTTTAAATCATCTTGGCTTGCTTAAACATTTTTAACTTTTGAAAATCACAATATGCCTAATTTGCAATGTAACCTTTGATGTCTCCTCATCAAATCTTACTGGTTTACCCTAGGAATTTAGTCATTACAACTTATAAGTCCTGTAGACAAATTGTTTTCAGAGTTTATAGTTTTTTTTAATTTTATTTTATTATGTTATGTTAATCACCATACATTACATCATTAGTTTTTGATGTAGTGTTCCATGATTCATTGTTTGTGTATAACACCCGGTGCTTGATGCAGTACGCGCCCTCTTTAATACCCATCACCAGGCTAGCCTATACCCCCACCCCTCTCCCCTCTAGAACCCTCAGTTTGTTTCTCAGAGTTTATAGTTAACAGTTCATCATCTTTCTATTCATCGTGTGCAGGGGTCATGTTACTCTTCTCTGTGTCATTCTAATTTTAGTCTATGTGTTGCCGAAGCGAGCACAAGAGTTCACTGTCTTTTCAATTAAGGTGGCAGATAGAGTCCAAGGCTGGGGCTTAAGGGAATGAGGAAAAAGGGATAATCATTTCACCTAATTCCTTTTTGGGTAAATTTTCTTAGTTTTCATTGGCACAGCAAGAAATATTTTCAATTACTTATTTTTCAGTCCAATTCTTTTCAATATATATTACAGTTAGTGAAAATATCTCCCAGATACTGGGAGTCATTTACCAGATCTTTTCAAAGACACCATAAGAAAATTTTGTATTTTTCTTTGAATTATAATTCCTTTATTGGGATGTTGAAAAAGGCTGTATCAGACTGCTAGTTACATGCCATGCTAAATGTTCAATCCTGCAGACTGATTTTATATTGAAATGTTAACACCATTTAGAGTAAAATCTTAAGCATAGGAGGTATTCTCTGAATGGATATTTAGAATCTCTCTCCTTTTGAATTCTATCATGTTTGATTTTCAGATCAGGCACTAGTAATCAACAGTTGTAGTGAATACGCAATCTGAGACTCACATTGCATAGAGAGTGATAGAAATAGATAAAGACTGTCAGACAGAAAAAGAAAAAGTGACAAAGATGAATACTAAGGATAATTTACTTGGATATATAAACTATTCATTCTAAAATAATAAGAGTAGATAGAGGGAACAAAGCTATCTTGCCCTGTCTCCACATACAAATCATTCTAACCATATTCCAGTGCAAGACTCTAACAATGGGCAGAAGTTAAAATAGTTAAAATCTACTTAAAATACAAAAACAATAAAATCTTTCCTAATTAGTATATTTTTCCCTAGGAAGTGTGGATTTTTTTTTCTGCTTAACAAAGCCTTAGCAACATATATCACATATAATTTGAAAATAGATTTGTATGACATACCAGCCAGCAACAATGTAGGTTTTTGTCTTCTGTCTTGAACCTATAGAGAGAAATTTCTTGCTAGAAGGAAAAATATGATTTTTGTTGTTCTTACTATTAAAAAAAAAACACAGGAATTGAACTGCATGAGTTTTTGACAAATGAGATATATGTAATAAAAAAAAAAAAGGTCCTGAACTTTATTTCAATAGTAAGGTGATTGATGTAATTATCAATTGTATATTGCTGAAAAAATATAAGTTTAAACAAATGTAATTTTTTTCTTTGTGTCCACTACATTCTTTCAGAAAGACGAATAAGAGATCACTTCTTATTGGTTTGTTTTGACTTTCATAAATTTGCTTTTAGAACTGGATACAATGTCAGTATTTGTTTCTTTTTTAAATAAACTCACTTTTTAAAACACAATTCTTCATTATGGATATTAAAGGAAGACATCCACTAGCTTTATGATTATTACTTTGTCTATGAACTTACTTGTAGCTTTAAGTGGTCAATAGCATTATTGGTTCAACCCAAGTTTGTACCTGTGTAAGTCTTAAAGGCTTCTACAGATCCATCCAGGTGCTTATAAAGGACCAAACTAAACAAGATCATTGAAGATTTTCAGTGATGAGCCATACCAAAGGGAGAAAGTGTGGGATTCTTGACTTTTTTTATGAAGTATAGAAGAAACTAACAAATACCTTTTTTCTTTCTTTTTTTTTGGTTATTGAAGATAGACATATACACCTTAAAAATGTATATTTCTATGATGAAAGAACTCTTGATTCAGATTTAGATAGAATTAGTTATATTATTATTTACATAAGTATATACATATATATACACACACATATATATCATGAGGTTCTTAGAGACTTTATGTAACTATCAACTCTTTTTATTCAGATTTTCAAATTGTATTTCTTTTTATTTTAGAAACATTTCCATATATTAAATCATAGTTGGTTAAGTTAAAATTATATATAAAATGAGTAAACATTCATTTGATTAACTAGATTAATATTCTTATTTAACAAGTAAATAATGATTGCTTCCTAATATAATGCCATTGATTGCTATTCTTCAGTTAATAATGATAGTAACAATGGATAATCACAGTCATCAAACCAGGTTCCATATGTAAACACTGCCTTAGTGTTTATAATCCCTTTTAGAATTTTGTTCATCTCATCTTGGCCTATTTCAAAACATTCATAAACCCCGATTATACCCTAATTAACAATTTGAGGACAAATACACAGAAACAAAATTAATAAGTAACTATTTAATAATTTTCCTTTGCAGGGCACCTGGGTAGCTCAGTCAGTTAAGACTCTGACTCTTGCTTTGGCTCAGGTCATGATCTCAGGGTCATGATATCGAGCCCTGCATCATGCTCCCCACTGGGCATGGAGCCTGCTTGAGATTCTCTCTCTCACCCTCTCCTTCTGTGCCTCCACCTTGCATGCACACGCTCGCTCTCTCAAAAAAAAGAAATCCTTAAAATTTTTCTTTTGCTTATTGACATTCTTTTTTATCACTATATCTTTTTATGTTTTAGAAGTATAAAAAGCCTGATTGAGATCATTTAGAAAATTGAACAAGCTTTTAATATACCCATTAAATTCTTCAACATGATTATACCAAGTTATGATATTCTAAAATTTAGACAGCTTTTATCCCCTATTCCTATGGACTAATTGAATTGTTACTTTGTATAAAATGACTGGATTGTTTTATGGGGAATATTTTTACATTTGGGAGTTTTATTAAATTACCAATGAAAGTATTACTCATTAAAATTTTATAAGACAAAAGATTAATCTGCTTTGTTTTCAAGTCATAAATTTCAAATAATTGTCATCAGTAAAAAAAGACAATGATACAGATTTTAACAATATACTTATCTCCTTTCTTGTATTAATACCAGGGGTTTGGGTCACTTTATCTTTAGCTATCATGAGTTAAAAAAAAAAATGAGTGATGTCTCTTTGAGATGATGACTACTTTTTCTTTTTCTTTATTGCTCTATTACTCATATTTTTTTGCCCCTACTTAGGGGGAAAATAGTTTAGACATTAAGGTCAAATTGTGAGATAAATTAACATTGGACTTTAAAACAAAACCATTTGGTATTCCATGTTGAATTCAAATGTTTTAAAGATAATTTTAGTAACAGCTCAGTTTCTTGTTAAGCCTTTTTGCACCCTCTTGCTGATTCCAGCATAGACCTTTGTTTGTTTTTCTGTGTATGCTTGTATGTTATGACCTCGTATAATATCTTGATAAAATCACTTTGCATTCTTAAACAAATTTTTAGTAGGTTGTATGTATATAGTAGCTATGTTGGGAAGAAGAGAAAGTCAGTAGTATTACTTGCTACATAGGTGCAACTGAATAGACAGATGCAGTACAATCTTAGGGAGAAAGAGAGTTAAGGAAGGAAAGGAGGGAGGAAGAAGTAGGGGGAGGAGATTAAGAGAGAGAAATAGTTGTTCATAGTATATAAAATCAAAAGAGGTTGAACTGATCCTGAACATCTTGAATTGTGAAAAACAATGGTGGTAAAACATAAAGCAATATTTAATATTGTCAGTGTAACTGCATTATAGAGAAAAATATATTCAATATTTTCTGCCTAACTTTGAGGGAAAAACAGAATCCTTTTATATATTCCTATGAACATGTAACATTTTGCCTTTTGAAACTCCTGGTGCCTGTGTTCAATAGAGAATTTAGATAGCAGGAGCCAATTTTATTTTTGAAAGTTGAAACTAAAATACATTTCTTTTAAAAGATGTGGTTTGATAATATTAAGGTATTTTCTTATTATTTATTGCATTTTCTCTAGTGATTATGACATAGAAATTTTTCACTATAATATATTTTATTGACTTAGCCTGATCAAACAGCACAATTCAAATATTTTTATTGATGTAATATATTTTTTAATAATACCTGCAAATGAAATTAAATGTATGGGCCAGAAAAAAAATAATGCTCAGTTTTTAAGAATTCCTAACTTTTTTTAGTAAGTAGTATGAAATCATGAGTTCTCAACGAAATTTTACCCAGAAAGATACTGTTTATTCCTCAGAAAATCAGCAAAAATTATTTATCAAAGTGTATCATTTTGGGTCAAAAATTTAAAAAGGAATGCATGTGATTATTAAAATAAAATTAAGAAATCAAACAAGTCATGTTCCTCTAAAATATTATGTAGGGAGATTGTATTTTATGATTCTAATTTTTAAAGTGTAAAATGGTATATACTATTTTGTATGTTTGATAGACTTTACAGGAAAAGTAACAAAACAAAGATGATAATTATGAAAATTATAGAAATAGTAATAATAATAATATTAATTTGGGGGCACATATGTGGCTCACTCAGTTAAGCATCTGACTCTTGTTTTTGGCTCAGGTCATGATCTCAGGGTCCTCCGATCAAGTCCCGTGTTGGGCTCCCCGCGCAATGGGTAGTCTGTTTAAGGATTCTCTCTCTTCCTCTCCCTCTGCCCCTCACCCCACTTGCACACACACTCTTTCTCTCAAATGAATAAATAAATTTTAAAGTAATAATAATAATAATATTGATTGATGATGCTGATGATAAAGTATTTGTTCAGTTCGTAACAGGTAAGTAATACATAGAGAAATAAGCACCCACATTTGCTTCCTTATAAATCAAGGCTATTTGATTTTATTAAGTCATATGGCAATGGCAGAACCAAAGATGACCTTCATATTTGTTAGAACTTTAGTTTGGGAGAAATCTGAAATTCACATTGCGAGTAGAACAGTCAACTGTAGAACTTAGGAGAATGTAACATTCTCAAGACAACAGGAATATTTGAACCAAATATTAGCTAAGTTGGTTTAGATGTTTAACTAAAGCTTAAATAAATCATAACTTTCAAATTTTAAGTCCATTCTGTATTAAAACAGAGATAGAACAAATATCCCCTACCAGTTACTATTCTTTTTCCTTAAAATTAATATACAGTGAAGGCATAAAGGCTAGAAAGCCCTTCTGAGATTGAAAGAACAATTATCCAAAAAAGCGTGGTTGGAATATTATTCAGTACTAAAAGGAAATGAGGTATCAGGCCATGAAAAGA